CTCCGGGCCCGGCGGGGGCGCTCGGCCAGCCCGCAGCCCAGCGCGGCGCTCAGCAGCCCCAGGCGCAGCACCCAACTCCAGAGCCGCATGTCCGACGGTCCCCCCCGCCCCCCCTTCGCCCCTGCACCGCCGCCCGGAGCTGCCAGCTTTGGGAGCCTCGGCGCCTCGACTTTCTTCGCTTCTTCACCCTTCTTGGGCGAGCCCCCCCTTCCACTTGCTTTTTTCTTTTCTTTCTCGCTTTCCTCCTCAAGGTGTGTGCTCCACTCCCCCCACCTTTGAAAAATACAGCCCAACTCCTCCTGGTTGGCAATTAATTTCTCTCCCCGCTCCTTTATCTGCCTTATTTTCCCCCTCTAACAGCTGGTTGCCTTCCTCCTTGTTTTATTTCATTTTATTTTATATGATTTCTCGCTCTTAAAAAAAAAAAAAAAGCTCCTCTAAGACACTGATCCGCTGAATTCCCTCCCCCCAAAAGATGCTCTAATTTATTTATTTTTTGCGTCCTTTATAACACAAGCCACAGCCCCCTTCTCCCCCCCCCCAGTCCCCCCTCCCCTCCCTCCTTCTTCACAAAATGAAAGGAAAGAGGGGGGAAAAATCCCTCAGAAGATGAGTAAACAAGCGTATGCTAATCTGCTCCCGAGCGCCCCACCTTCCCAATTGAATGAGTCCCTGTTAAAACTGCGGGGATCATGACTAATCAATCAGTTTGGAGAGGCCGAGCTACCCAGCCTTCCTCCACTTTGCCGTTTGCCTCTTCGCTCCCGCCCCCCCCCACACACCCTTTTTTTTAAGAAGACAATCTTAAAGTAACAATTTAATGAAATTCTGTACACACCCCCTTATGGTCCTCCCAGCTCTCCTCATTCCTGCTCAAAACACACATTCCTGTTTTTGTTTTGTTTTGCTTGTTTTTTTCCCTCCTTCACCCCCCCCCCCTCTATTTTTTTCCCTCCTGGCGGCAGAAAAATCTCTCTCTTCTCTCAGGATCCCCTTTGCACTGTGCTGGTAAACCTCATCCTTCTCTATAGCACAGAAAGAGTCTTGAAACTTGATTCTCAGATTTTTTTGTAATGCTGTCTCTTTCTCCCTCTGTCTCTTCACTCTAATCTCTTTCTCACTCACTCACTCTCTCTCCCTCCACTCCCTTTCTCTCCGTCTTCCTCTTTCCTTTCTCCTTTCCTCTCTCTTGTCTTCCCTATCCTTTTCTCCCTTTCCATCTCAGAACGTCCTTAAAGTTATGCAATGATGAACATCCCCCCTCTTCCCTGAGCCCCCGGTGCTGCTGGCTTCAGTTAGTCCAAATGTTGTCACTAAAGTCCTCACGGAATCATCAGAAGCAACCAGAGGAAAGGCATTTTCCGAAGCTGTAGACTCAGCACAACTAGGTCTCTCAATGCTCCTGAATACTCTTAAAAATACTCTGTCGGTTGTTAGAAATTATTTTAGTTTTACATAAAAAATGAGAGAAAAATATTAATTTGCCTTCTTTTTTTAAACCTAAGACATTCAGGTCCTCTGACATTGTTCAAGTCACAGGTAAGGATCTGACCATTTGCTGCTTTGTAGATCTGTTTTGAACTGGGACATATATGTAATATATTTTTGTTCGTCTTTTTTCCCTCTCTTTATAGAACTCAAAAGCTCCCCCTTATGGCAAAACAGTTCTTTTTTTTTTTTTTTTTCTCCAAGTGTTTAATAAGTCAAAATGAGTTAGCAGTGGTGGATTACAAGTTATGAGTTACCAGTCTGTTCAAGTAAGGTAGTGATAAAAATATGCTGTGTGAGGTTTGCATGCAGGTAGCATCCTTGAAGCCCGAGGTGAAATCAACTCCACTAATGTACGGTTTTCCTCCCCATGTGTTCCTGTCCTCAGGGCTGCTCTGGATCTTTCCTGAGAGCTGGGATCATTCCTGCACGCTTCAGGAAGAGGGAACATGCTTGGAGAATATGTGTTGGTGAAAGTATGCAGATCTGTAGAATGAGTAAATGACTCAGACATCCCCTCTATAAAAGCCAGAATGTGGTATGCAGGGATTATGGCACCATTCTGACAACGGGAGATCCCAGATTCAGATCTTCTTGGTTTGGGAGGAGCTTGCCGTATAGTCTTAAGCCAAGAATGTCTGAACTCAGTTTCTCCAGTTATAAAAAGAAAATGGCATTATATCCTAAATGTGTTTCAGAGACCGGCTGAACGAAGAGGATCTTTAGCGCACAATGCCTTGGGTAAGAAATTTGCCTAAGCAAATCTTTCACTTTCTGCAGCTCCAAGTCACCTAGAAAAGTCATGAGGTTGGCATTCAATTAAAAAAAGACCTATGTTGAACTACATAAATTATATCTTGCAAAATCTCTCTCTTTCCCCAATAGAGGTTGGAGCATGACTGCTAACTCACTTCAATGGTGGCAACTAAGCATTTGGAAACTGTATTTCTTCCAGGGGCTTCTAAGTCATTGTATACAATGGTTTTGAATATTCCTAGACATTTGGGGTTTTTTCAACTCTCCCACCAAGAGCCAGAACACGATAGTTATGGTTCTAAGTTCCCACTCACTCCAACACATCCCAGGGCTATGCCCTGAGTGAGCCACTTCACTAGCCCTCCACTTCCTTACCTTTAAAATGGGAATGTCTGTTTCACAAATTCATTTTGGGGAAAAAATACGCTTTGGGGTATAATATTATGTAAACTCTAAAAGTGCTATATAAATACTACTTGTTCTACAGTTGTTGTCAAGGACCAAGTGATCCTTAGGTTCTTAAAGACAAACAAAAATTTGGCAGCCCAGCTTATCATTTCTCTCCTGTGGCAGGTACGAAGAGGAAAGGAGAGAGATCCAAGTTTCATAGTAACTTGAGCTTCTTGACCTCAGTCCCTAGATGCATCTGGAGCAATTGACAAAGGCTTTCACTGGTCTTTTCATTGAACGTGCATTTATTAACTATCCCACCAGTCTTGGAAGCCACTCTTATTTTTATGCAGGTATGTGTCTATGTATGTATGTGTTTGTTTTTAATTGAGTGAATAGAACTGGATGAATTGTAACCCTTGGTTCATGATCCACCCTAATCATTGGTTTATGCATGACATTCTTATTTATTTACACATAATAAATAATGCATCATATGCTGCTATCCCTCTTTTTCTCCATCCCTTGATCTTTCATGGATTTGTCCCTTCTCCTTTCATCATTTGTAGTCAAAGAGGAACCATCTGAGAGTTAGAGGACGCCGGTTCTAATTCTGACTTGTGTGGGATCTTTGACTTCAGATTGCTCTTCTACAAAGTGAAAAGACAGGAGTTGAAGATTCCTAAGATTGCTTCCAAATCTGAAGTGAAATGGAGCCCCCAATTATTGGAGTATGGCAACAATTCCCATCTAATCCTCTTGTATTTGGTCAGTTCCTCCCCACCCCCCCAAGGAGTCTTTTTTTTCTGGGGATTTTTGTCTTAAAAACTACTTTTTAGAACAAAAATAGTTCTGTTCCTCAACTCTTAGGATATACTCCTTCAATATTCATTTTATTTGGTACTAACTAAAAGCAAAGTATTTTGCCAGGGAGGGTGTAAGTGTCTACTAGAAGTTATGAGAGTAACATCTGAGTGGAGTCCTAAAGTTTGGGAAGGGTTTGAGCAAGTGAGGGTGGTTCAAAGTATACATTTCAGAGTCATCCTGACCTGGGTTCCTATGACCTTCAGCAAGCTGCTTAATTTCCCTGAGTCTCAGTGACCTTATCTTGGCACCGTCCTGAGGATTGTGTGCTGTGTGACACATAGTAGGTGCTCGATAAATGAGCACACTCACTCCTTTCCCAGGGATCTAAATTTTATGGCCCTCTGGGCTTCTGTCAGCTTTCATCTAGAGCATGATCCCCTCCTATTTCTTACTCCAAGCCAGAAGGATTATGCTCATCTCAGAATTCCTGGGCAAGCATTGTCTGTCTAGTAGAATCTGGAACTCGATTAGATAGGATCTGGCATTGTTTTTGGTGTCCTGTTTATGCTTTTCCTCCAAGATTAGAACCCTTCTAGGGCAAGGATCTTCAAGGGCCAGTTTTGTCACCACACCCTCCCCCACCAGCCTGAAGGGCTCCCTCTTCTGGGCTCTCATAGAACTTCCTCTGAATTTCTCTGGGTACATCCCCAAAGCCAGCTATCGCACTTAATTACAGACCTACCTGTGTCCCCTTTCCGTGTGGGACAGAGACTGTTTTGCATTCGTATTTATGCTTCCCCAAATGTGTAGTCCAGCACTTTGCACATAGCTGCTTGTTCAGAACCGATAAATTTAATTATATGTATATATAAATATATATAAAATATATAGAGAGATTTGTAAATCTATATAGATATATAGATGTATGTATATACATATATTTTTGCTGCTTTGTGCTTCTTTAGTTTTTCCTATGATGCCAATATGTTTAGTGCTATGAACATATTAGGTTCTTAATAAATACTTAATTTCTTCAATTTCTTCAGCCTCCCCTTTCCCAAATAATCTATCTGAAATTCATTGGCTGCCCAAGTGAGGGTGGCTAGAAAGAATGTGGGCTTTGAAGTAGAAGAAATGGGATTCAAATCCTATCTTTGCTAAATAACAATTCTAAGAACAGCCTACGTTTATCGTGTATACGCTATATTCCATGCCATATTTAAATGCTTTTTATAGGAACGATCCCATCCAGTCCTCATAACGAGCCTACAGAGGAAGTCTGATAATCATCCCATTTTACAGGAGGGAAAAAACTTGTGAATCACAGAGACTGAATAAATAGTGGAGAGCCCAGCCAATCTGGATCTAGCACTTTCTGTTCTAGCTCTAGGGGCTAGGAAGAATCACTTAACCTTTTGAATCTCATTTTTCATTTTTATAGATTTCATGGGGTTATCTGGGAGATTAAGTGAGACGATGGATATCATGTTGCATAGTGACTAGTACATATGTCAGTGGGTGTTGGATAAATATCAGCTTCTTTACTTTCTCCCCAACGGTAGTTAAATTATATTAATTTGACGAATGTACTAGACTTGACAGTCATAAGAATCACGCCAGCAGTCATAACAACTTGCTTGCACTGAGT